CCCCCCCCCCCCCCCCGGTCCTTCTCTGCTCCGCCGTCCTGCCCGCCCGGCCTCCGCTTAGCGGCCGCCCTCTGACGGCCCTTCCCGCCCCGCACCTGGGCCGCGGCGGAGCCGCCCGCCGCCCCCCTGATGTGACGGCCGCCCGGCTGCTGGGGCAGGGCAGGGCAGGGCAGGGGGAGCCCCTCTCCTGGGCTCGGCTGCAACTTACTTCTCACTGTAGTGCAGCCCGTTTGGGGCGGAGCGCTCCCAAATCCCCCCTGAAGACAGCAAGCTCCCGTTGGTAAGGCTAAACGGAGAAATTCGCGTTCCTCTCTGTGCTGACTTCCAGTTCCCGGCAGAACGTTTGCCTCCGGTATTCTCTTCGCTTTCCCTCCCTCTAACTGTCGACTTCTCCTTTTAAAAGTGACTTCCCAAACCACCCGGAGTTCTTTGTTTCTATTGCGGGTAAACATGATTGTGTTTGCTTAAGCTGCTGGGAAATCGGTGTTCTCGCTACAATCACAGCGAGCTTTTCATTTTGGCTCCTGTAAGCAAGGTGTTAGGGTTTAACGGTTTTGAAGTGGCGCGTGTTCAAGATTTATACCTGTTGAGTTCATTTCTCCCTCCCCCCGTTCTTTTTCTGGAAGTAGCTTTGAAAATGGCTTAGACGATTATGAAATGTTAACGCTGACAACTACATTAGCTGATTTATGAAGGAAGGCTCTGAAACAGAGGAGGTAGGCTCCAAATCTTAAAATCTATCCTATTAAAAAAAAGTTGCATGTTAAAATTAAATAGCAGGGAAAAGTTAATTCCCGATGATCCTTTTCTCCCGATTTAAATACTTTTGATGGTTGTGGTCTTCCTTTTGTCCATATTGACAAGGAAATAATAGGCTATTAATTCCTATTATCAGTCGTAAGAGCATTGATAACAAGCATTGTTACGTTCCTGAACTCTGCCTCCTGAAGATCCAGGCCTTATTTACGTTACTTCAGTATAGTAAGAGGAAGAGCTACAATGTTCGTCCACTAGCTACTGCTTACTGCCAGCGTTTGAAGAACCATACTGCTTTGATTTATCCTGAGCGCCGTTAGATCACGTGCTGTTGCATGTTGTTTTGAATTAATTAGGTACTTAAGTAAGGAAAGATTTGCTTGACCCTAGAATTTTTGCTCTGTGGTGAGCCACGCTGTCATTATTCAAAAATTATTCCAGTGATTAGCCTCCACAGCTGCCTGAATGTAATGTGGATGCAGTTATGGATGCGGTACGCACAACAGCATCCTGTTTCAGACAGGGGGGAGAAATGGTGGCAAAATCTATGCTTGTGTGAAAGCCAGGTGAAGTGGGAGAATTGCAGGGACAACATCAACAGCCGTCAGCGAGAACAGCAGATTATAGCAACAAGAAGGGTGATGAAGAATTTTAATTAGGATAGTAATTAGCAGAATTTTTAGGGAGTGGGTGTGTCTCCTCAACTGTTTGAATAGTTCCGGATCCCTTACCATTCATACTCATACACAGTGCAAGGTGGCATAGATATATTAGCATCTATGAGATTATTCCCCCCCCCCCAATCATGTGATTTGCCTAGTATGATATTTGAATCTCTTAGTTCACAGCAGGTCCTTTTGAAAAAACGGAAAAGTTTGAATTATCCGGGCTTCTTATAAACAACAACATTTTCAAGAGAGGAGGTTTCTGTATCTGAATAGCCATTGTTGCTTACGCTAGTAGTATTGTAGAGCACTGTGAAACATGATGTTGTGTCTGATCAAGGCTTCAGCACCATGATATGCATTAACTATCATGTTTATGTCTTCAGGATGTAGTGTTTGTGAGTACTCATAGTTGCAGTTCCTTCTTGTGAAGAATCATTTATTTCATGGTCTAGACAGGGAAGCAGAGACTCTGACAAGTTGGCCACGTTGAAGGCCACATGCCACAGCTCTCAGAGCTACTCTGTCCAGGGTTGCCCTTCTGAACTCATGATGCTAATGTGTGTCGTAACATCAGACGTTTCTCTAAATCTGAAACTTTAAACAGATACAATGTTGTTTTCTAGAACAGCATCAACTTTTACTCTGCATCATAGTCCAGAGATGCTAGGTGATTCTTTTTCTCTTGTTTTTTTTCTCTCACAGTAGTTACCTGGAGAAGGAGAATAGGTAGGCATGTGAAGAAAGGACTCTAGGCTCTTGAGCAGTAATGTACCGTAGTATAAATACAGACATTTTGGTTCAGTTTTTCTGTTCTGGTCTCATGTTCTATTGATCTGTAGGATATTTTAAGACTTCTGGTGAAATACTTGATACACTGTGAGTTGGAGAAGCGAAAGCTGCTGAAAAATGGAGTGGATGGTATAACATTCTGATTTTAGGAGATATTTGAAGCTACAAGTTGCTATTTCTGATGGTAAAGCTACTGGGTGGAGAATGTGAGTGTTCTGGCTAATGTAGCAATGAACAATCTTTGAGCTAATTTCTCAAAACACATGTGAAATGATTAACTTCAATTTAGAAATTGGAGAAGCGAAAGCTGCTGAAAAATGGAGTGGATGGTATAACATTCTGATTTTAGGAGATATTTGAAGCTACAAGTTGCTATTTCTGATGGTAAAGCTACTGGGTGGAGAATGTGAGTGTTCTGGCTAATGTAGCAATGAACAATCTTTGAGCTAATTTCTCAAAACACATGTGAAATTATTAACTTCAATTTAGAAGGAATCCGGGGTGAGATTCATCTTGCCTAGCTTGTGGTTCTAAAAGTTAGCTGGCTTTTCCTGTCACAGGAGAGGAATGGGCCGGGTGAACTGTGCCTCTCTTCGGCATCTCCACAGGGCAGCGTATCAAAATGGTATCTGTTTTTCCACTGACTGCGGAGTGGACTTAGGTGCTCAGCTTACGTATTGGTGTATAAGCTGGGAGAGATGAATCCTAATCCCAGATTCCAAAATGGTGATTTTGTTTTCTGTTTCTGAAGGTCTTTTCAGCTTAGATTTCTTGCATACTGAGGCTATGTTCTTCCCTGCCATGAATACGCATTCATCAGATGTACATCTTTGTCATTTTAGATTTCCAGCTTGAGATCAGCGTGCTTGTGCTGATTTTCCGATGAAGTACATCCTGGTAACGGGTGGTGTCATCTCAGGCATTGGCAAAGGGATCATTGCAAGCAGCATTGGCACCATACTGAAATCATGTGGTCTACGTGTCACTGCAATCAAAATTGATCCTTACATAAACATAGATGCTGGAACCTTTTCACCATATGAACATGGTATGAAGGGCAGTGCTGTTCCCTTTTGCATAAAGATTTGTATTCACAGTTACGTGGTGGGTTTTTTGGTTTTTTTTTTTTAATTTTTTGAGAAACGATAGTATGGTAGTGATTAGTAATTTTATAATCTATTTGGCAACGCAAGTTTGTTCCTTACTATGTGTTCTCAAGGGCATTGTCTGCTCTAAGTAAAGAGAGGAGAAGCCTGTTTGGTGAAGATACTTTTATGAGTAGATGCTTCCTTCCTATAAAGTACCACTTTGTTGGGAAAATCCTAGCTCTAGGCCTTGCTCAGTCAATGCTATCTTCAGTTCAACTTGATTACAAAAAAAAAAGGAATAGTACTATAAAACTTTTTTGAAACTTAACTCCTTGACAGTTACTTGTGAATGCTGTTACCTAGATGTCAGTTGTCGGTGCCTCTAGTGTGTCTTCATAAGAGTTAGTTTAAGCTCCCATTTTAGACAATGAGGATCTAGTCAAAATCATCAGTGAAGCTTAGAGAGCCAACTAGTGATACCGTTTTAAAGTAGATGCTTAGTTTGGTTGGTTAGTTCTCTAAGCTATGTTGGTTGTATTGACTACACAGCTGATGAGGTACAAGGCAGTCTGACATGCATTTATAATTTTGAATGTTCTTCAGCTGTCTGTCTTGTTACTTGTCCATTTATTGAAAACAATGTTTTTCAAAGTTCCAAAGTACCTTCAGCCAATAGACATTTCTAATTCTTTTTATTGGTTGGATTTTGTCTGCTTACTTTTAGTCTAGACCAAAATTTTTGGAACTGGAGATAAACGTGTTTTTCTCCTGAACTGAAAAAAGACCACTTTGGTTTTTAAGTGGAGGAAGAGCACAGCACATCAGACCGCTCTCAAAAAGCCAAATTTAACTAATCCATTAGTCCTGCACATTCAGAAGTGCATCTGGTGCTACTTAGGCAGTTGACCGGGATAGTTATGCCTTTACCTTTGGTGGTAAGACTCCTGCAATGAATTGAGATTGTGGGGATGTATTCCTCCCCTGGATCAGGTACAGGGGAGAGGGGATACTATGGCATGTTATTCCCACACAATTTTTTTTTTCTCCCCTCTGTTCACTTAAGAGTTTCTTACTGCTTGTGAAGAAACACTGGCTTGCTGGGTAGTAAGTAGAAATTCACACAAGCCAGAATGGCAAGCCTCTTTTGTTAACATTTTGGCAGAAATATGATTGAGTCAAAGGATTTTGATTTGATGATTTCCAGTTAACTAAAGAGGTTTTTTAATAATGTATTTTTTTATTCTTCCAAGGCCTGCTTATGAGTAACGTTGGTTCCACTCGTGTCTGTTGGCTTAAATGATAACTTAGTACAGAGGAGGTACTCGGTGCCTTACAGGATCAGGCATACATTTTCCACTCTGTTGTACACATTGTGGTGTTTTTGTTAAACTGTTCATTGAGGTGGAGTGTTGTATCTTGGTGGGATATCTATTTCCGTAGTCTATACTGTACCTTCAGGGGGATTGCTTCTGTTTTTTTCCTTGTGCGTTAGTCCCGTAACTTGTTTAGCCATTGATTCATTGGGTCATGGCAAAATATTTTATGTTTTTTCTGAAGAGCTTTCCAGCCTTACCTCAAGATCTAGCAACTTTAGTTCCTTCTGAAGTTGACTAAATTCAGAGTTTAGAGACTCTTTAGAGGTCTAAGAAAAGTCTGAACCTGAAGGATATTTTCATTAGATTTTTCAGGGTCAGAATTAACCCTTGCTGCGGACATAGTGAACCAAATATACAAGATGAAACAACTGAATAAGAAACAGTGATCATGTTTGAAGAAGCATTTAGATTCATCATAACTTTACTCCTGATCCAAGCCTTAATCATTAAGATCCAAACAACGTGAATTTATAGTGAAACACTTTGAACGTGTGTAATAATTCATGCTTATAAAAGCACAGTTTTTGGCTGCCACGTGTAAATTAATGTTTTATTTGTTGCTGATTTATGATTCCTGGAGATTGTTTTCTTCCAGTTGAGGATTGTAGCATGCTGTTGAAATGCTGGTTAAATATTTTTAAGTCACTTAAATATTTTGGCAATGTAACTTAAATTTATTTGCAAAACTGTATGTGACTGAGGGATAGGCATTCGATGTAAAAGTAATGACTCAGATATTAAGTCACACAGAATGGCAACACAGATTGAGTTGCAGCATGTGCTTTATTGATATGTTGTTGATATGTGACATGTCATTTCAAAAAACGTTTCTTCAATTTTAAGATGTTTGTGGTATTCCTGCTGTTTGTTTAATAATTTATCATTATTTTATTGCTTTTCTGTCTGCTTTCACTTTCTTTTTTCAGGTGAAGTTTTTGTATTGAATGATGGTGGAGAAGTTGACTTAGATTTGGGAAATTATGAGAGATTTTTGGACATCAATCTCTATAAAGATAACAACATCACCACTGGAAAGATATATCAGCATGTCATTAATAAAGAAAGACATGGTGATTACCTGGGAAAAACCGTTCAAGGTGATATTTTTAATTCTGTGGGATACTAGTCGATTCAGTCTTCACAAAAATGTGATCAGCTAGAACAAGCTGCTCCTTGCAGCATCATCTTATTCCTTTCTCTTTCCCAAGAGATATGGGCATATTCCTGTAATGTTGGGCCTCTGGGTTCAAGAAAAGGAGGAATAGAAAAAGGAGCTAGCAGTTTCCTTTTGACTTTCTGCTCATTTTCCCCCTTTTGCATGCAAAAACTGTTACATGGGCCTAAAGTAAGATATGCTTGCCTTCTTTGGCTTTGTCTTGTAGTTGTTCCGCACATCACTGATGCAGTTCAGGAATGGGTAATGAATCAGGCAAAAGTTGCGGTGGATGATGACAGAAAAGAGCCACAAATTTGTGTGATTGAGGCAAGTATGGAACCTTTTAGGATATATATCCGCAGCGAACACAAAGAACTTTCTCTTTGCTACTTACTGTAAAAAGGTCAGACTGAAGTTTTATGGAGAGCAGCAATGCAAAGACACGTTTTATATTCTTTGATTTGTTCTGAGAATGATAGGCATGGTCTTATCCCTACAGCTTCTGTTTACTTGACTAAATCCCTTCTAGAATATTGCTGAAACTGAGCTGCTTAAGAGTTTATGGATTTATAAAATTAAAGCAGCCAGTTACTGTAATGTGAAGTATCTATTCTGAGATAGGGACATTTGACTGAAGCTTTATACTGTTAATAGTATAGAGAAAATGTGTGTAATACCTGAAATCTCCTGTGGTCAGTAGGAGAGCCTAACATTCTAGCTTTCCATATGGCTTCAAATGTCCATCTTGTTGCTCGTGGTCATGTTTAAAGGAATATATTTAAACACAGTGTAAGTTAGTTTCCCACTTTCTGGTGTTATTTTTAAGATTTTTGGAGGCAACTTTGTTAATCGCTTAACCTACTGATGTTCTGCACAATGGAAATAACGAGTTTTACCCATCCTTAGTAGGGCATTGAGACAGCTGGAGGAAAGGCAGTCAGTAATTGCTGGTATTACTATTACAGCGGAAAAAGATTATACCTGAGAATTTGACAGAAGAATATGTCATAGATTTAATGCCAGAAGTGACCACCGTAATCAATAGTGTGATAAACTTTGTGACCCAGGTCACAGAATTGCTCAGTATTTCTTACGCAGAAGAATCTGCCTTGATTTAAAATATGCTTATTGGTATAGCTATAGATCTTTTTTATGATGTGCACAGTGAGAGTCAAACATTTCATTGAAAACAAACGTACAAACAGTAAATACAGAAGTTGCGGAAGAACATTAATAAGTGATGGGCTTGTCAGTTCTTTAACTTCAAACTTAATTTTCTGTTTCCTCCATGTGTGGTGGGTTGTTTTTTTTCCTGTTATAGCTCCAGCCTGATAAAAATATTTTTCTTCAGGACTTTAAGGATAATTGTAATGTTTTTCCATGGCAAATTCCTGAAGGAGTTAGACTGAATATGTGTGTCACATACAAATGTAGTTGTCAGAAGTTTTTCTGGTACTGGGTGAACACAAATATGCAATTCTGTCAAAAGCCACTTGGTGGCACAGAAAGATCATTCTGAAATACAACTACTTCATAAGACTTACGTGCTGAACACTGCTTTATTCAGTGCTTAGTCTACTGCAGCTCTTTGTGTCTTTGAAAGACATCTGTCTATAAATAAGTTTTATCATGGACTTAGTCTTGGGTTTTGGTTTGGTAATAAATATTTAAAGTCTTTTATAATGTGAAATATTATTTCATGTTGTCCATATGGCATTTATTGATGTTGGAAAGCTATGATAATATTGCTAAATGTCTGTATCTTGTTGTTCACAACTGTTCATTAATCTGACAGACAGGAAAAGAAAGTTTTTCTGTACAAAAGCCTTCATATCAGCTTAACTATTGATTACTTTTTCACCACTTTGAAGGCAGTGTGAAAGCATGTATTATTCAGTAGCACCACACATCTTCCCATGGGAAGCTTATGTTTGGTGTAAAGTGAATACAACAAAACTGGAAAATTGTTTTATGGTTTCCACAGGAAACAAAATGCGCAGAATAGATGAGGGTTCTTTGCAGAGTATGCCTGCAAATTTCAGTTGTCAGTGTTTTTTTTAAGATAAAAATTTCAGAAAACTTGTTGAGTATGTAAGAGGTAGGCTTTTTTTTTCTTTTGTTTTTGCTTTTGGCCACTTCGACATATCCAAGCTTTCTTTTTCAGCTGGGTGGAACCATTGGAGATATTGAAGGAATGCCATTTGTTGAAGCGTTTAGACAGTTTCAGTTCAAAGCAAAAAGAGACAACTTCTGTAATATCCATGTTAGTCTAGTGCCACAGGTAAGTTACTAAAATTAATAAAATAGATTTTACTCTGTATTGGGCTTTATATTTGTTTACTTCTCCCATTAATCCTTTCAAGCTTGAGGGTTTTAGAGACAGAGATATGAAACCCAGCCACACTGGGGTAAATAAAGGTCTTGGTAATTACTTTATTGATGTGAGAATCTGTTTTAATGTTCTAAGTTACCAAAAAAACCCCTTATCAACACTAATTTATCTAGGGAGGTAAATATAGTTTACTTAGCGCGGGAAGATGCTGGTACATAACGAACCCAGTAAGAAAGGCACTCGGATTCTCTAAGGTATGGCTGAAAATTCTATTTGTTAGAGCTAAACTGCAAGGAGAGGCGGTGTAAACGACCTTACGTCCCTCCGGGTGGTGGCAGCCCCGGGTGGAGCAGCATGGAACGGCCCAGATGTGCCGGGCAGACTGCGCCCGGGGAAAGAGATTCTCCCCTTTCGGTCATTTGAGCTGATAGATCATTTTCTCACAAGGAAACAACGGTAGCACTAAAACTGTCAAACAGAAAGGATGTTCTCGGGAGAACTTCGTGCCGCATCCCTAGATAAAGGCCAGGCCATGCAGGCGATGCGGGCGTGGGTGCTGCACGGGAGCTGCCTGCATTTGTCCTGCGGCCACGGGATTTGTGCGGCACAGCACAGGCCTGGGCTTCCTCAGGGGGACCCTGACGTGGAGCGCTAGCTCCTCCATGTACAGTGGTCTTCCGGTCAAGACCACTACAGCTTTTTGTGCGGGGCTAAAAGTATTTTTCCATTCGAACTCTAAATTTTACTTCACAAATAGGCGTTCTTAGTATTTTAAGAGGTAAGTATTCACTGGGGAGATTTTGGTAAGCAGAGGTTGGTAATGATGATATGACTGCACCTTGTACAGATAAAGAGAGAATTATTAACCACTGCAGCTATGGATTAGAGGATTGATCAGCAATTGGTAGGATTGATTCCCTGTATTTGAGAACAGAATTTTTACTACATCTGATTATTTCCAAGGACAGTCACTGAAGGCTTTGTGCTATGTTGGACGTTCTCCGTTTATTAGCAAAATCCAACTTTTGGAATATTCTTCTACCTGAGTCAGTTATACTGAAACTTTTTCTCTGAAAGAAAAAAACAAAATAAACCTGACCTGAATTAGGGCCATGTGGTTTCTTCACAGCATTTCTTATATAAGTAATAACAGTGGTGCCATTTCTGTTTCTGGCATATTGTGGCTCTGCTTGGATATGGTTACTTCCTGCAAGTATTATTACTTGCAATGACTTTTCTCTTTTGACCTGTAACTGCTCTGTTAGTAGATGTTAGTTGCTATTTGAGCTTTCAAAATATGTCTTTCCAGCCTAACGCCACTGGTGAACAGAAGACAAAACCAACACAGAACAGTGTTCGAGCACTGAGGGGTCTAGGCTTGTCTCCAGATTTGGTGAGTCAATAAATACAGATTTTTATTTATAGGTCATCTAGAAGTGTCCTTGCATAACCTGTGTTCAAAGAATAAGCCTCAGTCTCCCATGAGAGACAAGAATTTTAGAAGAAATGCAACATATATGCTGCGCTGCTTCACTAAAGCCACAGGAAATCAAATTATGCAAATTCACTCTAAGTTAACTTAATTCAACTAACTCGTTGCAATATCTTCGGACTGTAGCTATGTTCTTCTAAAGGGATCTTTGCAGAAAAATCATTCTGCACTGCTAAAAGTAATCTAAAGTCTCAGTTCACTTTGTGGGAAGACCTAGAATGCTTCTGGCTTCTAACATTCTCTCACAAATTTCTTTTTATGCATGATTAAGAAGCAGCAATCCTACCTTTGAAGTACAACCTTTAAAAATATTCCTGTTTGGAAATATGAAACGTGTGGGTGAATCTTCAAAGTAAGGTTCCTCAATTTCTTTCATAGAATAGTTTGTGTTGGAAGGGACCTCTAAAGGTCACCTAGTCCAACCCCCCTGCCGTGTGCAGGGACATCTTCAACTAGATCAGGTTGCTCAGAGCCCGGTCCAACCTGACCTTGAATGTTTCCAGGGATGGGGCATCCACCACCTCTCTGGGCAACCTCTTCCAGTGTTTCACCACCCTCAGCGTAAAAAACGTCTTCCTTCTATCTAGTCTAAATCTATGCTCTTTTAGTTTAAAGCCATTCCCCCTTGTCCTGTTGCAACAGGCCCTGCTAAAAGTCTGTCCCCATCTTTCTTATAAGCCCCCTTTAAGACCGCAATAAGGTCTTCCCGGAGCCTTCTCTTCTCCAGGCTGAACAACCCCAACTCTCTCAGTCATAGGATCATAGGATGGTTTGGGTTGGAAAGGACCTTTAAAGGTCATCTAGTCCAACCCTCTGCCATGGGCAGGGACATCTCTCCCTAGATCATGTTGCTCAAAGGCCCATCCAGCATGACCTTAAAATAATATATATCTGTCTGTTTTAGAGTTTTTTAATACACCTATCATCATGGCATATTTGTTTCCCTTCTACATCCTCATCCTCTTAGAATACACTTTTTTGCCCATTGTAGGGATTTTTGTTGCTTTTTAAGTGAGTAGATGTGAATATTAGAAAGAGTTCAGGAGAAAGAGAAGCATTTCGGTGGAGCATTTCAGCATTTCAACCTCCTGGGAGGTTGCTGGTTGTTGAAAAGGTTTTATTGAGAGGAAGATTTTGCAGCATTTTCTAATTCTGGTCAGACTCTGGATTCACCATATTTCTTCACCAGTCTGTCCTCAGAGGAGAGGTGTTCCATCCCCCTGATCATTTTTGTGGCCTTCCTCTGGACCTGCTCCAACAGGTCCATGTCTTTCCTGTGCTGAGGGCTCCAGAGCTGGACGCAGTACTTCAGGTGGGGTCTCGCCAGAGTGGAGTAGAGGGGCAGAATCACCTCCCTCGACCTGCTGGCCACGCTTCTTTTGATGCAGCCCAGGACATGGTTGGCCTTCATCTACCACTACCCCCACGTCCTTCTCCACAGGGCTGCTCTCAATCCCTTCTCGCACCGCATAGTATAGCGAACCTAAAGCCAGCATGTTTCACCTCATGCCAGTTGGCAAATGATGACAAATGCTCAACTCCTTCCATTTGTTCTCCCCAGTGCTCTAGTACTGAGTACGTGCTTATTCCCTGGATGCAGTGTTTGCCTCCCTGGCACTTTTCCTTGGTAGCAGAGAGGGAACATAAGTAGATTGCAGCTCCCTGTTGTGATACCTGTCTGCCATTGGAGATGTTAATCTGCTTGGTCAAGTGTTGATAGCACTGAAGCGAGGGCAGCACAGCTTCAAATGCCAGTTACAACCCCAGTTCAAACTTCTGCTCATATCTTCCTGAGCTGCAGCTGGTGCAGCTGAAAACACACTCTGCTTTAGGAACAGAAGAGGTCAATTTTGCTCTTTCGTGTGGGGCTGCTTGTTAAGTCAAAGGCTATTTTCCATACTTGATTCTGGAAGTTGTTGAGCACTTTCCGTTCCCATAAAGTCCACTAGGAGAAAAAGCTTCCTAGCCCTTCTCAGAAATGAAAGAGTAGTGAGAATAGTCACTGCTTCCATATAATATTTATATCCTGAAAAAAGAAAAATGATTCTTAAAAGGATAGTCACACAACTAAATATTGTGGTGTGCTGCTTTCTGATTTTTTTTTTTTGACTCCTGCATTTTACGTTTATCAAAAAGCATGTTTATAACTACAAAACCGATAGCTTTATAAATAGGATATGTGAAGGATGTGTTAGGTAGCTTCAAATTGTTGTGACCTGGTGACTGTAGTCAGCTTGTGGAGGGAAAGACTTTTATTAATGCAACGCTGCTCTATATTCTAAGCTTCAGGGCCTAAATTTCAAAATCCCTCTTGACGTGCTAGTTGCATATGGAAAGTTGCATGTGATTTTTGAAGGCCTTTAAGAGAATTGCCAGCGCCTGACTCTTCTTTTTTTTTTTCCTCCCCCGAATAAATTTTTAAAAGCCTGTTGGGGGGTGTGTGTGTGTAATAAAAGGAAAACAGACTAGTCACTTTCTCGCATCTTGAATTCTTTCCTGGGGCAGTTCTGGGACTGCCAGAAGTGCGGTACTTCCCCCCA